TCGTCAACTCTTGCATCCTGCCTATTATTCTCGATTGTTCCGCCTTCTTTTTTCCAATGCTACTGAAGAAGGACTATATCTTATCACGCGGGGTGTTGAAGGTTGTCAGCAGCGTAATTAATGTGCCACTTGACCAGCTAGTCAATATCCTGGTCTACATGCACTTGAACTCATTCGAAAATGGGCTAAGTCCATTCCATATAAGTCACACCACCCTCTTCATTCACCACTCTCCCCTAGCATCTCATCAGGCAGGACCAGAAGCCTATATAGAAAACTATATGCTCGCACCAGCAAGTACAAAATCTCAACCATACCCTACATGGCTCGTGTTCTGTGCGATAAAGAAAGCATTAGGCATGGAATTTATAACTTACAAAATAGTCAGTAGAACAATTGGATCTCGTCTTTCCAACTCATATCATTTATAGGTACAGCGTTTTCTTTCTCTCTTTTCCATTTCTCTATTTTCGCATTTTGTTTCTTTGTTTTTTCCGTTATGTGCTGTTTTATTTCTCTCCTCCTTACAAGCTCTACTTAAAACAATATTCTTCGTAATTGCACACTCTCTGAATCTCGGCTTTGTTGTTACCGCTTACGCCAGTAAATGTGCTAGAATCGACTTTTCTGTTCACTTTCAGGTTTGCTCCGATATGCACATATGTTATCGTCAAAGTTAACTGGGACTACCCATAATCTTTGTGGAATTTTATTTATTGTTAATGTACAAACTGGATGAAATACTGTAGTGAAATGCTGAGAATTAACATTCTGTAGAACAAGCACTGCTATAAAAATAGAGCAAATTAATGATATTCTCATTACTATTATTATACAGGAGTGGGACACTGAGTTCCTGAGTAGAAATATTTGCAGTTACACAACATACTTATTGGACTCAAGGAATTCAGATCTGATCTACTGAACGTCATATCTTACTGAATCTTTGTAAATAATATTTATACATAGAAATCTCAAATATGCTGTGCATGACCGTGAAAGCAAGAACATCTTCTACTCAGGTTACTCATTGCATGAAGATAATTAAACTAGTACTACAGCAAATACAAAAGTGCAACAATAGTGTCCTTGTTTAAATAATGTAAGAATAGCAACCATATCTGAAATTGTTATCCGCATATTTGTGTATCACAATCTCTTTCTCGCTTCCTTACTCTTCCCTTCTCTTCTCTTCTCTACGGCTATCATGTATTCATAGGAATTTGAAAAATGCTGTGCATGACCCTGGAACCAAGAACATCAACATGTCAACAAAGCAGCATACCATGATAATGATAACATGATAAACACAGAAAATGCTTGACTCACTCACTACGCATTCACTTCTCTAATTACATAAACAGCATGCGTTGGGTTACACGACAACAGTGTGTTTCATTGATTTTTATGCATCAACAGAAGAGGTAGAGCGTTCACTCGTGGTCAGATTCACGCTTTGTGTATTAGCTACACTGTCATCCGTTGACGAACGCATTCTTCGAAATAATTCTTTGGTGAAATGACCTGTAGAGAAATACTGGGCTTTCGCTTAAACAGAGATTATCAGTTGCCTCAATAAAACAATTTCACGTTCATTGATATGGTGAAACGGAACTAGAAATGTTGGTGATAGCTAGGCATAGACAGTCGCTGAGATTATTGTCATTTGTGACGGTAAATCAGTGTTGGTGGAGTGGTGAGGACATACTGAACCCAATGTACCCTTATCAGCCTACTTGATTAACAATTATCATTACGAAACTGATGATAGGATTTGTGAATGGAAGGATTCTCAGGATTACTCGAGCATGCCGGAAGACACTGTGTGTTGTAGGAGTAAAGCGTTGCTCATTTCACGTGTTTCGTTTTCCCGACTTTGTGCTGGTCAGAAGTGTTCGCACAACGACATGTCGACATGAGAGTGGTTGGTGGGAAGGCAAAAATATCGACTGGAATTCTTGTGTCATATTCTTTGTATCATTTCATCTGTATTCAATTATGGCATAATTCCACCATAACTCACCATCCGTTTGATTGATCAATCCGACGAGGATTTCAGTGGATTTCATTGTTTATTTCATGCGGGGTGTTGGATTTTCCCGTATTCCTGTCCATCCTGACATGATCGTTGAAAAAAATTGTCGAGATAGATTTCAGCGTGTTTTTTGTTGATAAGCCATTATTCAAAGGAACGATGCTGTGCTGGGAGAGAGATAACAGTGTTCTGCACGATGGGCATCGTCTTCCATGGAGTAATATTGTCACTTTTCGCGACATCACTGTGACACGTGTATGGTTTAAGGCATTCAGTGTGATACCAGTATTTCGGATGAAATTCCTGCACAGCGAATTCAATGGATGTTGTGCTCTACACTTTCTCCAGGTGACTCATGCTTCCTAATGCTAAATATTCTCGAAGACGTTGGTACACACTCATAGTATTCCCTAGACGGGCAGATTCAAGTGATCCTACACGAAAGGGCGACAGATAATCAATTCCTATGGTGAAGATGTTTCTAGAGTATGACAACGTGAGAAAGACATCGAAAGCATATGCAAAGTCGATGAATTGGAGACAGGCTACTGACTGCTATTCTCTAGTCAGCTAGGAGGAAACCCCAGGAAATTCTGGATTTCCACGCGCTCCTCAACTTGTAATAATGATACCTTCTCACTCCAGTGCAAAACACGATCACCAGATAGACAAGAATGTTTCGCACTTACGAAGCAACCAAATTCATTGAAAAGGATCTCAGTGTATATTCACTTTCAACACTATCACTCATCCAATCTCACAGATGGCATCATTAACTGTCATTGAATTAGCCGCCTTTGTACAAATACACACGGATAGATAGGTTGTGTTCATAGAGAGTAATTTAGTAATTGTGAAGGAAGTGAATGCGTGCGAAAGAAATTGATGATTATCAGCATGTTGTGTACAAAGCTGAAGATTCTAAATAAAATTATACTCAAATTCTGAAAATATTCAAAAAAAACACTGTCAATATGGTGTAGATCATTCGAAGAGGAGGTAAGAGAATATGGACGATCGTGAGGTCAGCTGAAAAAGACAGCACAGAAAACGAAAGAGTGTATTTGTCACCATGAGCACATAACACTTTCAGGTCTGTCCCTCCGACATTAAAAATGTACTCAATCGCAAGCACATACCAACACCAATGATCTCTGTTTATAGAGCCTTGACCCTGATGGTGTACCTGCTTATGTTCTAAAACAATATGCAGATGCTTTTTGTTCACCACTCACTTACATCCTAGACGTTTCTTTTTACAAAATTGTTGTACTTGTTTCGTCGTAATAGAAAGAATGTAAATTCAGAGTCTTTGCCGTTACTTCCCTTTTTCTAAAGCCGATGGAAAACCTAGTACTTCTCAAACTTTAACCCTCTCTAAAAAGTTTTGAAGAACCCAAACAATTTGCATATGAACAGGGTAGAAGTGCTTCAGATGCTGCAGCCGTCTTACACAACAGTATCGTCTCATCATTAGATAAAGGTGACAAATACGTTCGTTGCATGTTTCTCGACTTCACTTCTGCTTTTGATTCTGTACCTAGATATCTCTTGCTAAATCAGCTCTTGATGATACACACTGAGTCCTGGGTCGCAAACTGGCTGCATTCCTATTTCTCAAACAGAATGCAGTTCATCGTATACAAAGGTAAATCCTCCTCTGCTGTGCTCACTGAAGCTGGTGTCCTTCCAGGTGCTGTACTCTCACAACTTCTACTTTCTTTCTTTATTTCTACATGACTTACCATCTTCAAATGACATTTATTTTGTTAAATATGCTGACAATCTGACGGTATCTTTGCCTCTCAAGTGTCAGAGTGACTGCTCCAAACTCGATGGCTTTTTATAAGAAATCAGCTAGCTGTCCAAGGAGAACGGTCTTAACTTATATCCCTCCAAATATCGAACAGTCAATTTCACCTTTAGGCATAAATCTTACCTAAACAAACTGGTTAGCACTCACGAGTTGTACAACACAGATGCCACTGAAATAGAGACCAAGTCGGAAATCAAACATCTTGGCGTCATTCTATCTGCTGATCTTTCCTAGTCGTCTCATATCTTGATGATTTCTGAGAAAATATTATGTCATACTTTTCACATCAAGAAGTTAAGACATTCTGGAATAACCCAACCCAACCCTTACTCCTACGATTCGTTAACTCTTGAATTCTGCTAATTATTCTTTACTGTCCCGCCTTAGTTTCTCCAGGGCTACTGAAGAAGGACTATATCTTATCACGTAGGGTGTTGAAGGTTGTCAGCAGGGTAATCAATGTGCCACTTGACCAGCTTGTTAATATTCTGGTTGACACGCACTTGGACTAATGCAAAAATAGGCTAAATCCATTCCATCTAACTCACACCACCCTCTTCATTCACAACTCTCCCCTTGTATCTCATCAAGCAGGAGCAGAAGCCTTTATTCAAAACTATATGCTCACACTGGCAAGTACAGAAGCTCAACCATACGCTAATTGGCATGAAACTTATGACAAATTACAAATAGTCAGTAGACCAATTGGATCTCGTCTTTCCAACTCATATCATTTACAGGGACAATGTTTTCTTTGTTTTTCTGCCTTTTCTCTTTTTTCGCATTTTGTCTCTTTGTTTTACTGTTATCTGCTGTTTCATTTCTCTCTTTCTTACAAACTCTACTTAAAACAATATTCTTCGTACCTTCACATTCTGTAAATGTCAACTTTGTTGCTACCGCTTACGCCAGTAAATGTGCTAGAATCGACTTTTCTGTTCACTTTCAGGTTTGCTCCGATATGCACATATGTTATCGTCAAAGTTAACTGTGACTACCCATAATCTTTGTAGAATTTTATTTATTGGCAATGTAAAAACTAGATGAAATACTGTAGTGAAATGCTGAGAATAAACATTCTGTAGAACAAGCACTGCTATAAAAATAGAGCAAATTAATGATATCCTCATTACTATTATTATACAGGAGTGGGACACTGTGTTCCTGAGTAGAAATATTTGCAGTTACACAACATAATTGATGGAGACAAGGAATTCAAATCTGATCTACTGAACGACATATCTAACTGTGTCTTTGTAAATAATATTTATACATAGAAATCTGAAATATGCTGTGCATGACCCTGAAACCAAGAACATCTTCTATTCAGGTGACTCATTGCATGAAGATGATTACACTACTGCCACAGCAAATACAAAACTGCATCAGTAGTGTCCTTGGTTAAATAATATAAAAATAGCAACCATATCTGAAATGTTTATCCGCATATTTGTATATCACAATCTCTTTCTCACTTCTATTCACTTCTCTTCTTTTCTCTACGGTTGTCATGTATTCATAGGAATTTGAAATATGCTGTGCATGACCCTGAAATCAAGAACATCAACAAGTCAACAAGACAGTATACGATGATAATGAGAAAATGATGAACACAGAAAATGCTTGACTCACTCACTACGCATTCACTTCTCTAATCACATCAACAGAATACGTTGAGTTACACGAGAACAATGTGTTTCATTGATTTTTATGCATCAGCAGAAGAGGAAGAGTGTTCACTTTGGGTCAGATTCACGCTTTGTGGATTAGCTACACTGTCATCTGTTGGCGAATGCGTGCTTCGAAATAATTCTGTGGTGAAATGACCTGTAGAGAAATACTGGGCTTTCGCTTAAACAGAGATTATCAGTTGCCTCAATAAAACAATTTCACGTTCATTGATATGGTGAAACGGAACTAGAAATGTTGGTGATAGCCAGGCATAGACAGTCGCTGAGATTATTGTCATTTGTGACGGTAAATCAGTGTTGGTGGAGTGGTGAGGACATACTGAACCCAATGTACCCTTATCAGCCTACTTGATTAACAATTATCATTACGAAACTGATGATAGGATTTGTGAATGGAAGGATTCTCAGGATTACTCGAGCATGCCGGAAGACACTGTGTGTTGTAGGAGTGAAGGGTTGCACATTTCACGTGTTTCGTTCTTCCAATTTTGTGCTGGTCAGAAGTGTTTGCACAACGACATGTCGACATGAGAGTGGTTGGTGGGAAGGCAAAAATATCGACTGGAATTCTTGTGTCATATTCTTTGGATCATTTCATCTGTATTCAATTATGGCATAATTCCACCATAACTCACCATCCGTTTGATTGATCAATCCGAAGAGGATTTCAGTGGATTTCATTGTTTATTTCATGCGGGGTGTTGGATTTTCCCGTATTCCTGTCTATCCTGACATGATCGTTGAAAAAAAATTGTCGGGATAGATTTCAGCGTGTTTCTTGTTCACAAGCCATTATTCAAAGGAACGATGTGAAACTGTAAGAGATATAAGAGTGTTCTGCACGATGGGCATCGTCTTCCATGGAGTAATATTGTCACTTTTCGCGACATCACTGTGACACGTGTATGGTTTAATGCATTCAGTGTGATACCAGTATTTCGGATGAAATTCCTGCACAGCGAATTCAATCGATGTTGTTCTCTACACTTTCTCGAGGAGACTCATGCTTCCTAATGCTAAATATTCTCGAAGACGTTGGTACACACTCATAGTATTCCCTAGACGGGCAGATTCAAGTGATACTACACGAAAGGGCGACAGATAATCAATTCCTATGGTGAAGATGTTTCTAGAGTATGACAACGTGAGAAAGACATCGAAAGCATATGCAAAGTCGATGAATTGGAGACAGGCTACTGACTGCTATTCTCTAGTCAGCTAGAAGGTGATGCGTAACAGTGCTATTCGGTGCACCCATCAATCGCACAATTTGAAGCCTTGTCACAGTGACAATTTTCATCCAGTTCAAGAGAGATTATAGAGTTTTTTCAATAATTTATTATTCTATAGTTTGGTTTGTAAGGATTAGTTATGTTTTACGAGTTGATCACGGACTGATATCAGTTAGAGAACCATTGAAAATCAGGGAGTACTGGACAGCTGCTGTTTCATCCTTGTTTAGGAATTTATTATTCCCCATTGTAGCATTAAGAACACAATATTCAGTGAAGAGACTCTTTTCAACGAATTTATTATCAAGCTGTACAATCGTATATATATGGTTTTTAAGAAATTATATCCGGTGAGGGAATTAGGTCAAAGGTGTGAATACATGAAATAATAATAGTATGAAATGCAATTAAAATATTTGTGATTATAATCATAGTTTAATGTCAAGTGGCACAATAATTAATGTCGTATATAGAATAATACATAAGGTGTATAGATTTTGGAAGGGGGGTACATAATTATAGGATTAGTAGACGAATATAAAATGTTACATAACATGGTATGAAATTTGATAAGACAGAATTCAATATTGTAAAAAATATAAAAATTAATAATTTTAGGTTTAAAATGTCAAGTGGGTCAAGTGAAAAAGATTCAGAGTGAGAATAGTAATAATAATAATGATAATAATATTAATAATAATAGTAGTAATAAGGGAAGAGTACATAGAATAACTAAATAAACAAAATAAATAAATGTCTATCCCTCTACGGCCAAGGCAGAAGTAGGGATTGTACATACTTCTTTATTGACAGCAACATGAAAGAATAGCAGTCTAAACTGGTTACCGACACAGTTCCAAAGAAAACCTTATTCATGAACTTGGAATTCAAAGGTGATCAAGCTTCAGATATGCTCAAAAATCGTCTCTCCAAATCAGTCAGTAAGACGTTCTATGCAGCAAAATTACATATGACTTTCACTAGCCGCAAGTTGTTCTCTACCTCTATAAAAGATAAGCTCCCCCGTCTGGCCGCCTCCATGTGCATCTATCAGTTCACCTGCTCTTATGGAGCTAGGTACATTGGTCGTAGTCAGAGGACGCTTTCCACACGGATAGGAGAACATATTCCAGCTTGGTTTTATAAGTGAGAAAGAAAGTGTGTGAGAAGCTCTATTTTGGAACACCTGATCGACTTCCGTAACTCTGTTAACCCTGACCATGATTTTAAGATCATATATAGAATCCATGCTAACTTCCCGCGTTTTATTCGTTAGAGACTTCTAAAGACAGCTGAGGCCTTGGCAATTCATGACTTTAAGCCAGACCTTTGTGTACAAAAGAAGTATGTACAATCCCTACTTCTGCCTTGGCCGTAGAGGGATAGACATTTTTTATTTTGTTTATTTAGTTATTCTATGTACTCTTCCCTTATTACTATTATTATTATAACTATTATTATCGATATAAGTATAAAACTTGGGCACTGTGGTAGAGTATAATTCCATAATGGATAAGATTTTATTTTGATAAATCACACAGTGTAGTACAGTTATATTAACTGATGACGTTTCGAGCACAAACTATTGCTCATAATCATATCATATATCATATAACTTGATATGATTATGAGCAATAGTTTGTGCTCGAAACGTCATCAGTTAATATAACTGTACTACACTGTGTGATTTATCAAAATAAAATCTTATCCATTATGGAACTATTATTATCATTATTATTATTACTATTCTCACTCTGAATCTTTTTCACTTGACCCACTTGACATTTTAAACCTAAAATTATTAATTTTTATATTTTTTACAATATTGAATTCTGCCTTATCAAATTTCATACCATGTTATGTAGCATTTTATATTCGTCTACTAATCCTATAATTATGTACCCCCCTTCCAAAATCTATACGCCTTATGTATTATTCTATATACGACATTAATTATTGTGCCACTTGACATTAAACTATGATTATAATCACAAATATTTTAATTGCATTTCATACTATTATTATTTCATGTATTCACACCTTTGACCTAATTCCCTCACCGGATATAATTTCTTAAAAAACCATATATATACGATTGTACAGCTTGATAATAAATTCGTTGAAAAGAGTCTCTTCACTGAATATTGTGTTCTTAGATTATAGAATGTAAAATCTTTCGCCTTTCATATATTAAAAGTGAAAATTAGCGGTGTAATAGTGACTTTCACAAAGGATCAAGTGTTGAGCTATTACAAAGTTCCTCGTCATAATCGATGCACTTCGTAGCAACAGCAGAGTCGCCTTCGTCTGCTGACGTAGTGATCTGTTGGTGCAGGCGTGTTTTATACTGCTTACCATTTCAAATGTTGCACACAATCTCTTTACGATTGAGATAAGTGAAAGATGTTTGGAGGAAATTACGAAGGCCTCCTTATAACTACTCCCAGAATAGTGGCTTGCAGTCGCCGTGTATCGCAGGTGTCAAATGAAATTAATGGATTGTAATAAGCCTGCAGTCAGCAACTAGACAGATTTTGTGCTTCATTTCTTCACGCCACAGAGACATATTCCACTCTAGGAGGTAGCTCATATGATCAGTGGCTTTTCACAAACTTCTGACTGACGGCGTCACTATCAACGGAAGAAATTTGAAAGAATTCACTTCCTTCGCTTCACTGAGACAGAGACAGACATTCATCATAAGAGAAGGACGTAAACAACCAAGAATATTCAGTGTGGAGTTCTGTCTAACGGATAATATTTATCCTCAACACTCGTCTTCGTTAATGGGATACCTGAAACCTCTGACGCACTAAGAATTTCAGTGTGTAACTGTAACAGAACACAATCATACTGTTCGAAAATGCGAAACATTCGCTTTACCGTGTTCACTGAATAGTGTGGAAAGTGTGAAATCAATTGGTCATCACAGGGTCACAATATTGGAGGCATGGAGATCAATTCTGAGGAAGTAGGGATCGGTTGCAAATACGTAACTCAAAATGCTGCTTCGACTGAAACAAAAGCACAGGTCTGATGCCAGATCTGTTGCAAAACATACCACTGCATTCGCTTCAAGTCGTGTCTTCACACTGCTTCTCAACACTGTTTATCTTGCTTGACAACGCACTTGAAGTTTAGGCATTCTAGTATGCCAATTTGAGTCGCTCAATGTCACATAAGCAAGGACAATAGAATGACTCAATTTGCAGTTATGCCCAAATGAGTATGGCAACAGCGTCTGTTCATCAGTGAGTGAACTGGTGACACAGTATTAGCCTGAAAATGCAGTCGAATGAGCATTCACTGAAGGACAGCTACACAGTCTCTTCACAAAAACCGAAAGTTGTCATTCAAGAAATAATTGTAAACTGTCTGAATTCAGAAGCTCTCTGTGTGTTCAAGAATTCGACTGGCTTTGTGGAGCTAGTCAAATTTCGCTGTCGGAATGATTCTTACATACACCATGATAACAGGTCGTTCATCACCGTCTACGTTCAAGAAACTTTCAGTTCGATTAGACATCACTGAAGCATTCATGATGAAGAATGAGAGAGATCGGGATTTCCGAATCGAGGCTTTTCACTGGCGATTAGCGGAGTTACTAATGTGATGTTGCATTCAGCTCTTGGTGATTAGGATATGTAACTACCTACCTGTTAGGGACTGCGAACTGCCCACCACGATATATGTGACAAAGCACACAATCATGTCTTCACAGTCAATGCATCCAGAAACTGAATACTGTTGAGCTGATTCAACTAACATCTTGACTATTTGTATCGTCCAAATCAGTTCAAGTAATCACCGAATCACTTATAAGGATTTCAACCGAGCATTACAAGTAAGTTTGAAAAGATTATCTCAGAAAGAATTACTCTCTCACTCTCGAAAATATGTCAGTTCAATTCGACTGTGATTACTTCCAATGATGTGTGATATCGTCATTGTGGCTGTGGACTTCGAAGGCATAGCCTGAATACCACCTGTAAATGATGAGAATGTAACTCGAATTATATTTTATTTCAATGAAAGTTTCATCAAGCCAGCGAACCCACTTTCTTCATCCTTAATCCACAGGGGGATTAAAGTTGCAGTTTTCCTCTCATTCCGCTATAGCAGTTACTGATTACATCACATTAGTAACTTCGCTAATCGCCAGTGAAAAGCCTCGATTCGGAAATCTCAATCTCTGTCATTCTTCATCATGAATGCTTCAATGATGTCTAATTGAACTGAAAGTTTCTTGAACGTAGACGGTGATGAACGGCCTGTTATCATAGTGTATGATAGAATCATATCGACGGCTGACCGTGAGAACTGAGTAGACCGACTTTGGTTAAACTGAGAAGATTCAAAGACAGATCGACATTTCACAGATTGTTTTCCTCTGGTTTGTAAGAATTCCGAATGTCAGTAGGTGGAAGAAACAAACCTGATGTTAGATGAGGCAGTAAAGCCAGCCCTTCTTGTGAAAGTAGAGAAGACGCGAGTGATGAAGATATGCGAGGAACAACAACTAACAAGGTGAGAGAGTCCTAATCTGAATCACATACCTGGCCGGCTTCATAACAACCACAGGAGGCACAGCTGATTATGTTAATTTGGTCGATATATGTGAGGAAGTTCCAAGAAGCGTTGTTCACTCTGAAATCAGCATAGAAGTCAACCACAATGAGACCGAGGAACGAGACCAGAATATTCGAAAACAATGCCAATCGCATCAGTGACTTCCTACGATTCAGAAAGACGGAGTGTGTTTCAATGGAACCACTTCTACGAGTATTCAGATTTTCATCAAAAGCTGTCTTTGCTGCCAGCATATATAAATGAGACTGGGCGGTATCTACAAGTGAAAAAAAATTTATTCTGTGAAATAGCCTGATACCGTTTGCCCAACAAATATGCAGAAATAAAATGGAGAGAAGTGAGTGAATTGGCGGTAAGCTAGTGTAGGCTTGTGTAACACTGCCAACACAATGCTCGGATAATCATCAAAATAATTTGGAGGAGAACGATAATAGACGATATAGACATTTCAGTGAATTGCGTATATCCATGTAGCTGAGTGTTACTTCAGTTCGGGGTCACACTAAAGATGGCTGTATCTATCGATGATGACGTCGATGTCGCATAATTCTAAGTGGTGTCGGACTAGTGCTCACCAGCTAGCTACCCAGTAATCACCACCATTCAAACACTTTCAAATGGATGACGTGTCGTGATCAAGCTTGAATGGAATTATTTCACTTCTATATTATGAACTCATAAAAATATTAGAATGAAATTCTGCATTTTGCACGACAACACCATTAGTCAAACTTCAGTCAACAAATTAGAAATTCGTGAATTTATGCAAGTGAGAAGAGATGATATGTAAGGAATGCATAAGGAATACATGATGGCGGATATCAATGAGTAATGGGGAATTTGAAAATATTCAGTCAGACCAGCGTCAGAGAACAAACCACCACCTCGAAGAGAGAATAGGGTAAATAGAAACGCTTGTATACCGATCATAAGAATGGGTGAATTTACGAAATGCTGTATACTACATTCACTGAAGCACTGTTAGATTAGTGAAACACTGATCAAATCAATCATTCAAATAACGTAATGCATACAATGAAATTCCATATTAGTTTGTTTATTAGATATATCACACAGTGAGTGAAACAGTATTACTTACTGGATGACGTTTCGAACAAAATTTATTACTGTTCATAATCATATCAATTGTGATCACACGACTTTGACACTTGAGTTTTATAGCTTTCTTTGTTTTCTCCTATTTGTCGTCGTAGGGGGAGTAGAATTTTCCAGATATCGGGGACAGGTGATGAATCATTCCTATTACATGTATTTGCAGTTGATTCGATGAACAAAGCTTCTGTTTTCAATCTCTCCCCATACCCTGTGAAATTAGATTGTAAAACTGTCATCTTATCCCATCCTATTGTATGGTTGTGTGTGACTGCATGTAGTGAGTGGTATAGCTGGAATATTCTCTAGATTTCTTATCTTATTCGGGTCAACCAATCTAGATTTTGCTGTTTTTATGTTCAGCTAGTCTGACTGCCCCTGTTCTACTAGTTTGACCTATGTATTTGACCTGACAATCATTCCAGCAGGGCATGAGATAAACTAAATTGTTTTGTTTTAAAGGCTCTACAGGATCCTTTAGCCGACAAAGCTTGTTTCTAATTGAGTTTGTGGGTTTAAATGCCGTTTTTATTCCTGCCTTTTTGAGAATTTTGCGTAAGGCTTCCGAGGTTCCTTCCTTGTATGGAATTACTACTGATGATTTAGACTCCTTATTGTTGGTGTCGTCATAAATCTTATTATTATTGTCACTATTATCATTATCATTATTATTGTTATTATCACTATCGCCACTGTCATTATTTATTTTATTTTTACATTTCCTGACATATTTCCTGACTAATTTATCCGGGTAATTATTAAGTTTCAAGGCTTCTTTTATATGTATCAGTTCTTGGTTTAGATTTTCTTTGGTACTACTTAATTTTTGTGCTCTGTCATTTAAACATTTCACCAATCCTATTTTTACTGACATCGGATGGGATGATTGGAAGTCCAAATATCTGTTTGAGTGTGTGGGTTTCCTGTAAACACTAGTGTTTAACTTCCCATCTTCTTTCCTCTTTACGTTGCAGCTCCCCTTCCTGATTTTCCAATTCATAAGTGAATTGAATTGCCTCAACCTTCGAGTTTATGTGTTCGAAAAACCTGTCTATATCTTGTGTTCTAAGTACAGTGAATGTGTCATCTACGTACCTCCACCATACTTTTGGGGTTGGGGTGAACGTTTCAATCGCTATGCTTTCCCACTTATTCATGAATATATCTGCTACCACTGGAGATATTGGTGATCCCATGGCAACTCCCTCAGTTTGTTTGTCCATTTTCCCTTGGAATTTAAATACTGTGGAAGTCAGGCATAGCTGTGCTCCCAGCATTATGTCCTCAAGTGGCACTTTTGTCCTAAGTTCGAGGTCTCGGTCAGAAATGAGTTCGTTTCTGACTGCCTCTATAGCCATATTTATTGGTATACGTGTGTATAAACTGACAATGTCAAAACTAACCATTTCTTCTTCATTATCTAATTTTAAATTATCTAATCTATGTTTTAGTTCATAAGAATTAGTTAGTCTAGATTTCGAGTAGATTTTTGGGGGATTTAATACCATGGCTAAATATTTAGATAATTCATAAGTAGGTGAATTTCTAAAATCAACTATAGGCCTAATAGGGTATCCTGACTTATAAACTTTAACAACAACATACATACTACTGGGGTTATTAGTTTTGGGCATTAAATTAAACCACTTAGACTCACCTAGAAACGGCATCATTCGGCGTATAAGATCCGTACAATAGGATGGGATAAGATGACAGTTTTACAATCTAATTTCACAGGGTATGGGGAGAGATTGAAAACAGAAGCTTTGTTCATCGAATCAACTGCAAATACATGTAATAGGAATGATTCATCACCTGTCCCCGATATCTGGAAAATTCTACTCCCCCTACGACGACAAATAGGAGAAAACAAAGAAAGCTATAAAACTCAAGTGTCAAAGTCGTGTGATCACAATTGATATGATTATGAACAGTAATAAATTTTGTTCGAAACGTCATCCAGTAAGTAATACTGTTTCACTCACTGTGTGATATACCTAATAAACAAACTAATATTGAATTACTTACTACCACAGTGCCCAAGTTTTACTCATACAATGAAAATCACGACTGCATCTCGCTCATCTTACCTCACTGCTTCACACTAGCAACATCAAATAGAATCACAATAAGCACAAAATACACCCACTCAACTTCTCATTCACTCACTCATCCAACCACACAAACAGTGAACATCAGAACAATTTTATTGGTCACAGTCATTTACCGACCGACAGGGGTGGTCACCCCACAGTCTTTTTGCAAAGTATAAATACGTGTCCATATTCCTGCCTTTCCGTCATCATCATCGTCATCATCGATAAGTATCAGTGACATTCAGTGAGAATGGTGAGTCAATGTGTGACATTTGATGGTGATGTTCATGCCTCATTCTGTTTAGATTTGCTACCTACTCCTGACAGTTCTAGTGATTTCAGCTGCCGACAGTGCACCTACTCAGGCGAACCATTCAACCAGAGTCGACGTGCTTCACAATTCATCCCTCCAAGGTGAGATATGTTGTACACTTTCTCAGTAATTTGTGCATGTGAAATATTCTGGTTTGTTTATGCACACCAGCTATTATTTGAAATATTGAAGTCCGCTGTCCCCACTCAGTGACTGTTTGTCTTCGTTAGGCATGTATATCCAAAAACACCTTGATATTTCTCACCTTGGTGTCAATAAATATGATCTCGCTCTTTCTCTCTTTACTTCGGCTATCTCCTACGGGAGGATGAGCCGGCTTCATGAACATCTCGAATCGTTTGTAAGAGAGTACATGAAGTTTCATGGGGATTTGGTACGAGTGATGTCCCCAGAATCGCTCGGCCTTTTGTTTGAGAGTGTAGCTCTAGCCTTACACAACCAAGTGTGACCTACAAGGCAGTAGGAGTGGAGTAGGGAGTCCACTATCCATTGGCAGCCGTTGACCGGAGTTCGGTTCATACGCCTTTTTGAATGGGGCCAGACATCCAACAAGCCCTTTGTCCATACGTCTGCCGGTGAGGTCCAGTGAGCTTCATACGCCAGTCGTTGGAGGTTTGGAATCAGGGTTTAGCCATCTCCCCTAGACTGTCATCCAATGGACAGTCAACCCGGTGAAGAGCGCCGGGCGTCCGCTTTCGCGTTCTCACTTTGGTAAAAAAACACCTCCGCCACGTGAAGGCAGTGAGTAGGACTTCCTCAGGAGAGGCTACGTAAGACGCCCGGTGATATGGGAGCATTTCAAGAGGTGTGCGGAGGGGTGGCCAACCCGCAGCGCAAGGCACCCACCCCCGAACATCCTGAGGCTTTGGATCTCGCGCCACCAATTTGCCGACAAAGACATGCAGGCTGGCTGACTGCTTTGTTTGCACAATGCCATGCTGACATGGAATATTCATTAATTGGAAGTCATACGTTGTGGAGTGATGCACTGCTTTCGTCTCTGTCTCAATGGCCTTGAAACTATCTATAATGATGACAGACAGCTTATTCTGCAAACAGACGAGAATTTCACTTGCGCAAATGTGAATCAGATTGCGACATGATGCTGAATGTGTTTTTTTTCTCTTTTCATTTTGCAGGTGGTGATAAGAATTCTGGTCCCCAGTATCATAGAGCTGTGGATAAACGGTGGTCAAATTTTTGGATATTTTTCGTTTCACCGTTTTGGTACATAGCGCGAAAGATTTAAAACAGCACAGATGCACTGTGATGTACATAATTTACTTTCCAATAAAAAAAGTTATAATAAAATTTGAAGCTACTTTTGTTTTTCAACACAAATCCGTCCTGCAGTAAGAATAGGTCGATAAGCGTAACAGTGTAAGAAAACCTGAGGCCGATTATTTGCCACTAGTTATCAGATGAAATGAAATGCGTATTGATAGTCCAAAGAATGCATGCAAAGAAATTCTGAGAAAGCGTATATTCCAGAAATCCATGAGCCAGCATATCAACCGTTCATCACCGTCTACGTTCAAGAAACTTTCATTTCAATTAGACATCATTGTAGCATTCATGATGAAGAATGACAGAGATTGGGATTTCCGGATTGAGGCTTTTCACTGGCGATTAGCGAAGTTACTAATGTGATGGAATAAGTAACTGTTATGGTGGAATGAGAGGAAAGTTACAACATTCATTCTCTATAGATTAAGGATGAAGAAACTGGGTGGGCTGGGTTGATGAAACATTGATTGAAATAAAATATAATTGGGGTTACATTCTCATCATTTACAGGTGGTATTCAGACTATGCCAAATGTAGCTACGACAATTCAGAACAGAGATAATTCACTCAACTTCGGCGCTATGTAATCTGAGTTTGTGCATCTTCACTGAAATATGTTTCTGCGTGTTTGTGTGTGTTTGATTTTGTATCATCCATTGATGTGTTTTGTTGATAAGATGTGAAGTTTGTCGACAGAATCCAGCGATTTCTCGTTATTATTGTTGTTATTCCTCTGGGTCCTACTTAGAACATGGGGATTCAATAGCATATCTGCACTTGTCCTATTCTTTCCGATACGCTTCTGCTGATGCCCAAATTGCCATACTCTCTGATTTCTTTCACGCAAAGTCTCAAATATTTCGCCCCAGGACCCACGTCCAACTTGTCGTCTCACAGCAGCGTTCCACTCGAGAGAAATCCTGAAATGAGTGAGATTTTGCCGAACGGTATCCTTAGTGGCGTGTATCCAACCCATATTCATTTCCTTCACAAAATTTGTTTAGGAATGAGTTTTTTTGCTTGTTGGTTAGCTGACAGATTTTCTTGATGCTAATCGCTTCTGACTAGTCGTCGCAGATTCAGTATGTGTTCATCAAAGTTAGGTTTTGGTAGACGTCTGCACAGGCCAGTTTGAAATGCTTTTCTTGAATCGTAGTGCACGCTCCTCTCCCATATAGAGTCAGGCATCAACATTTCAAATCTTTGCGTCTATCCTGAGCCAGTGAATGTGATTTTCTAAATGACTTCAGAGTGATGGAGGTGTATCTTGCGTTTCCGATTCTCTCTAATTCGGCATCTTCATCCATTCCGCCTGCCTATAGTTGAAACGACGTTTTTGCGAGACAGTGAAATGATAGAAGTGACCTCTTTCAAATGTCTTCCGTTGATAGGGAAGCCATCATTCATGCGTTTGTGAAACGTTGTCAATTGTGTGAGATGCTTCGTTGCGTAAAATATCTCAGACACATAACGAAATCTCACACTGAGTCTCCCTAGTTGCTGACTACAAAGCTGGCGATGCGAAATCGAAGAATGAAAAAGGTAGTCATTGATTTATGCCATAAAAGGCTTATTACGATTCATCAATTCCATCTACCATCTGCAATACATAGCATCTCTTAGACACTATTCAAAGAGCAGTTATAAAACTACTCTAAAAATTTCGGTAATAACTTGTTTCACTAATCAATCCATTGTGAACTTGAATCGAAATGAGATGGTGATTTAGTCTGAACTAAAGACGATTCTTCACTAAACCATCAATTAAGACTGTAACAGTCAACACAGCAAGCATTATCAGACGAATGATTTTGCCTGCAACATCAGATCAGGTATCCATTTCCCGTGATATAAGCAGAAGCGAACGACAGTCATCTAAATAACTACAGAAAGAAGAACCGAGATATTTTCAGCAAGTCAACAAATAGAGCCGATTCTACTGTTGTTATGAATTGTATTGAGAATAACGAGAATAATCTGTGAGACAACCAAATACTGTACCCATGTTGAGGTTGCCATGGAAAAATCAAGTGATAATTCCCGTATAATGCTATGCAGAGGATGAAAAATATCAACGTGCATATGCTTCATATCCTGTAACCCATGTGTGGACCAGATGGCAGCGCTAATCATCCAACTGATGCAGACTGAAGAATAAGAGTCAGTACCCTGCTCGGAAATGCTATCGACGTCGTTCTCACGTTCCCAGACAACCGATAATCTCTGTGGAAGCGAAAGCCCAGTTTTTCTCTACAGGTCATTTCATCACACAATTACTTCGAAGCACGCATTCGCCAACAGCTGGCAGTGTAGCTAATCCACAAAGCGTGGATCTGACCACAAGTGAAACACTCTTTCTTGTCTTTTGTTTCATCAAATTCAATGAAACACATTGTTTTTGTGTAACTCAATGCATACTGTTGATGTAATTAGAGAAGTGAATGCGTTGTGAGTGAGTCAAGCATTTTCTGTGTTTATCATGTTCTCATTATCATGGTATGCTGCTTTGTTGACATGTTGATGTTCTTGGTTCCAGGGTCATGCACAGCATTTTTCAAATTCCTATTTATAAATGACAATCGTAGAGAAGATGAAAGAAGATAATAGAAGAGATAAAGAGATTGTGATATAGAAATATGCAGATAAAAATTTCAGATATGGTTGCTATTCTTACATTATTTAACGAAGGACACCATTGATGCAGTTTTGTATTTGCTGTGGCAGAAGTGCAATCATCTTCATGCATTATCTTCTACTCAGGTTACTCACTGCATGAAGATAATTACAGTAGTGCTACAGCAAATACAAAACTGCATCAATGGTGTCCTTCGTTAAATAATGTAAGAATAGCAACCATATCTGAAATTTTTATCTGCATATTTCTATATCACAATCTCTTTATCTCTTCTATTATCTTCTTTCATCTTCTCTACGATTGTCATTTATAAATAGGAATTTGAAAAATGCTGTGCATGACCCTGGAACCAAGAACATCAACATGTCAACAAAGCAGCATACCATGATAATGAGAACATGATAAACACAGAAAATGCTTGACTCACTCACAACGCATTCACTTCTCTAATTACATCAACAGTATGCATTGAGTTACACAAAAACAATGTGTTTCATTGAATTTGATGAAACAAAAGACAAGAAAGAGTGTTTCACTTGTAGTCAGATCCACGCTTTGTGGATTAGCTACACTGCCAGCTGTTGGCGAATGCGTGCTTCGAAGTAATTGTGTGATGAAATGACCTGTAGAGAAAAACTGGGCTTTCGCTTCCACAGAGATTATCGGTTGTCTGGGAACGTGAGAACGACGTCGATAGCATTTCCGAGCAGGGTACTGACTCTTATTCTTCAGTCTGCATCAGTTGGATGATTAGCGCTGCCATCTGGTCCACACATGGGTTACAGGATATGAAGCATATGCACGTTGATATTTTTCATCCTCTGCATAGCATTATACGGGAATTATCACTTGATTTTTCCATGGCAACCTCAACATGGGTACAGTATTTGGTTGTCTCACAGATTATTCTCGTTATTCTCAATACAATTCATAACAACAGTAGAATCGGCTCTATTTGTTGACTTGCTGAAAATATCTCGGTTCTTCTTTCTGTAGTTATTTAGATGACTGTCGTTCGCTTCTGCTTATATCACGGGAAATGGATACCTGATCTGATGTTGCAGGCAAAATCATTTGTCTGACAACGCTTGCTGTGTAGACTGCTACAGTCCTGATTGATGGTTACGTGATTGGTCGTATCACTAAGATGTAGAATCGTCTTTAGTTCAGACTAAATAACCATCTCATTTCGATTCAAGTTCACAATCGATTTATTAGTGAAAGAATTTTTTAACGAAATTATGAGGGCTGTTTTATAACTGCTCTTTGAATAGTGTCTAAGAGATGCCATGTATTGCAGATCGTAGATGGGATTTATGAGTCGTTATAAGCTTTTCAAGGCATATATCAATGACGACCTTTGCATTCTTCCATTTCGTATCACCAGCTTTGTAGTCAGCAACTAGGGAGACTCAGTGTGAGATTTCGTCATGTATCTGAGATGTTTTACGCAACGAAGCATCTCACACAAATGACAACGTTTCACAAACTCACGAATGATGGCTTCAGTATCAACGGAAGACATTTGAAAGAGGTCACTTCTATCATTTCACTGTCTCGCAAAAACGTCGTTTCAACTATAGGCAGGCGGAATGGATGAAGATGCCGAACCAAAGAGAATCGGAAACGCACTGTGAATTTAGTTTTAAAATCACGTGAACTGACTCAGGATAGATGAAAAGATTTGGAATGTTGATACCCGGACTGAGTGTCTTCCTCTATATGTAAGAGGAGCGTGCACTGCGATTCAAGAAATGCATTTCAAACAGGCCAGAGCAGGCGTTTACCAAAATCTAGCGTTGATGAACACATGCTGAAGTTGCAACAACCAGCCAGAAGTGATCAGCAACAAGAAATTTGGTCAGCTAACCAACAAGCGAAAACTCATTGCTAAACAAATTTTGTGAAGAAAATGAATATGGGTTGGATACACGCCACTAAGGATACCGTTTGGTAACATCGCACCCATTTCAGGATATCTCTCGAGTGGAACGCTGCTGTGAGATGACGAGTTGGACGTGGGTCCTGGGGCGAAATTGTTGAGACTTTGCGAGAAATAAATCAGAGCGTATGGGCGATTTTGGGATCAGCGGAAGGGTATCGGAAAGAATAGGACAAGTGAAGATATGCTATTCAATCTCTATGTTCTAATTGGGACCCAGGGGAAGAACAACAATGAGAAGTCGCTGGATTCTGTTGACAAACTTCACATCTTATCAACAAAACACATCAACGGATGATACGAAACCAAACACACACAAACACACACAAAGATATATCATTGAAGATGCACAAAATCAGTTTACAAAGCGCCAGAGATGAGTGAAGCATCTCTGTAGACGAATTTTTTTCTGAATTTTTGTAAGCTTGTGCTCCTGTGAGACGATGACCTCCATTTA